GCAACCGCCCTTTCCCCTGAGCTTTTTTTTCTTTTTCGCCAAGGTGAAGACGAAGAAATCCTGATGTGCAATGCTATCATAAAGGCCCGTCAATATCATTGGCATTCAAGTATCGCTGCAAGGTTCTTGATGGCAATGCTGTTATTGTGAGCGCCAGTTCTGGCAGTCTCGTATTGAGCTGGTTGCTTTGCAGGTTGAAGGTCATTCATTGTGATTTTCTGTGTCTGCCATCACCCTTAAGGTAATCGCAGGGTTATCAGGACAATTTGGGCCAGTCTTGCGTTTTAGTCTTGAGTTCTTTCGCCTGTGGCACTTGCTATAGGTGGCTGTTGTTCTCTGACAGTTGGCACTTTATCTGCGTCTCGTATGCCTTGGGCTGTTGCGCGGTGGTCTATGTCAGAATATCGACCAGGAGGGATATTGCGGGCAAAGAGGTCATTTTGTTATGAAGGTAATATTGGGCAACGCCCATATCTCATCGTCACAGTACAGGTTTTGCAAGTTGGCTGCTCAAGCTGTGCAAGTTCTGTCGCTCCGAGACAGCTTGCCCGTTGCATTCAGACTAAGGGGAGGCCCTGTCAGTGTAGTTCGCGGGCCTACCCGTAGGTTGTAGTGAGATGTGAGAGAGGCCTTTAACATCAGGGCTCGGTCGTCGTCGCCTTGCTAGCCGTCTCTCCTTCACTGCTTTGACCTGAGGCCGATAGTGTGGCGACGCTGTCGCCGGTCCGGGCCTTGAAAAACAACGAGGTCGCTGCGTATGAGTGTAAGGCTCAGGGTTCAGGGGTTGTGGTGCATGCAGCACGGCTTGTCGAAAAGATGCCTAAGAAGCCTTCAGGGTTAGATTTTCTGACTAGCAGTATGATTCTGAAGGCTTCCAGCGTCCGCACCTGGCGGTCTCAGCTGGGGCTTGCAAAGATGCCGAAGGCGTTCAAAGCACCAAACGTACTCCGATGGTAGTCTCATGTAGCTGATCCTGATATGGCTTCTTGTTGATGACGGGGAAGAAGACCCGTGAAATGATGCCATGAGCACGGAGGCTTGACAAGACGTATAATTGCATGTGCAGTTTGATGGGGGCCTGCTCAGCACACAAAACAGGCTACCGTTCTGAGAGATAAGAATTCCAAAAGGCCAGGAGGCTTGCCTTGAGTAGCCTTGCCTGTAGAATACTAGCTGACCATCACCAATTCTGGCTTTAAGCGATCCCATTTATGCCTTTTTGTCAGCACGGAAGAAAACGTGTCCACAAGCGAAAGCAAAGAGGCTAGACAAGACCGAGCGTTGCACGTGCAGTTTGGAAGCTCTCATCCCGACGGGGCTGTTTTCTGGAAGGGGCCCGTCTTAACCCTAAGAATTCTGGTCTTCCTACAGCTGGGAGCCGACTTGATGCAGTGCTAAGTCTGCTAAGTGGCTGAGAGAATAAACAAGAAGATCATGATCATGATCAGAAGTAAACCTAGTCAGTAGCAAGAATCGAACAAGAAGCGCTATGAAACCCGAAGCCTGAGTGAGGAGACAGCAAGGGCCTTTAACATCAGGGCTCGGTCGTCTTCACCTTGCTAGCCGTCTCTCCTAAACTACTTTGACCTGAGGCCGGCAGTGAGGCCGGCACTGACACACTGTCAGCGGTCCGGGCCTTGAAGAACAAAGAGGTCGCTGCTTGTGAGTGTAAGGCTCAGGGTTCAGGGGTTGTGGTGCATGCAGCACGGCTTGTAGAAAAGATGCCTAAGAAACCTTCAGGTCAGATTCTCTGACTAGCAGTATGATTCTGAAGGCTTCCAGCGTCCGCACCTGGCGGTCTCAGCTGGGGCTTGCAAAGATGCCGAAGGCGTTCAAAGCACCAAACATACTCCGACGGTAGTCTCATGTAGCTGATCCTGATATGGCTTCTTGTTGATGACAGGGGAGAAGACCCGTGAAATGATGCCATGAGCACGGAGGCTTGACAAGACGTATAATTGCATGTGCAGTTTGATGGGGGCCTGTTCAGCACACAAAACGGGCTACCGTTCTGACAGATGAGAATTCCAAAAGGTCAGGAGGCTTGCCTTTAGTAGGCTTGCCTTTAGAATTCTAGCTGACCATCACCAATTCTGGCTTTAAGCGATCCCATTTATGCCTTTTTGTCAGCATGGAAGAAAACGTGCCCACAAGCGAAAGCACAGAGGCTTGACAAGACCGAGCGTTGCAAGTGCAGTTTGGAAGCTCTCATCCCGACGGGGCTGCAGTTTGGACACAAGTATGGAGCAATTACAACTACCCTGAGCCTGGATAATTCTCTACGGCCTTCCAAGCTCTCATCAGTCTTGATGAGGCTGTTTTCTGGAGAGGTCTCCTCTTGGCCCCCGAACTTTGGTCATAGACCTAACTCCAGCAGCAAGAACAGAACAAGGAGTGGTAGTCACGCGAGAAGAACAGCAGCAGAAAGGCCGCATCAGTTTTTTTTCTTGTTCCAATGACACTACTAGCAGTAATTATTCCGCATACTACTGCACATAGACAACATTCCACATAAGGAGAATGCAAACAACTGAAGCCCAGTTCTGAGCCTAGCTTCGGCATTCTGGAAGAGGCGGAGCTGTCGCAACAATTGAATGCAACACTTTGCTCACGGAATCGTACCGTCCAAGGCGTATTGCTCAGAGCTAGGGTTGTCCTGTAAGTAGACTACTGGATTGACCAGCTCAATGCTGGTTGGGTCTGACCTTCCAGCAGAAAGATTCCTGAGATCAGGTGAGAACATTTGAGACAAACTTCCAAAGCTCAATTACCTGGATAATTCTCTGCAGTCTGCGTCGCTCTCATTAGTCCAGATGGGGCTGTTTTCTGCAGGGGTCCGCTCTTAACCCAACAGCTTGGAGCTTAGTGTATGAAGTGTTGAGTAGCTTGAGAGCGCAATCACGAAAATCAGGCGCACAATCAGAAGCAAAGCTAGTTCTATAGCAAGAACAAAACAAAAGTGCCAGTCACACTTGGATGACACCATGAGAAACTTGTTGCAATGATGACAACAGACATTGCTCCGGATAGCAATAATGCGGACCGCTGAGTACTAGTTCTACTCATGTGGGCCCATGTATTCAGGGTTCTTGCTTCAGCTTGTAGCTCTGCTACTTCAGCACAGCCTCAAGCACAATGCAGCCGACTGATGAGGCCAGCACGGTGACAGTTGACGACCTGCTTCCCCTTGTAAAGGCCTGGTTCAACGCAAGCTTTGTCATGTTGTTTCAATCCGTAAGTGACTTGCTCCTTTGCCAGGCTCGCGTGACAATCTTCACCGTGCCTGACTAGGCCTCAAATCTTGGAGAGATTGGTTGGTTGACAAAGTGTCGACAGCACATGGAAGTATCCCTTGCCCAAAACTTAAGGGTGCAGCTGCAACTGGGTATTGGTAGTGTTGTGGTTGCCGTCTTGCCACAACATCTCATATTCTCCTAAGCCGGGCGATTCGCTGTGGGACTTGGACTTGAAATAGATCGTTGGCCTCATGTGACTTGCACCATCGCTAGGCGTGAGGATGTTTACGAGGTCATCGACCCAGGAAAGCCTCTTTCCACCCGTCCTTCACAAACCTTTCAAGCTACATCTATGGGTGTTCGCCAGAATGAGTAGAATGAGACGCCCTTACACCAGCAGACGTAGGGATCCATCAATGTTTTCGTTGCATTACAACTCGTTAAGACGCAAGGCTTTCGGGGAATTGCATGTTTGGGATCTGATTACGGGGGACTCGCTGGTGCAACGCAGGCTTTGGAGATGACTGAGCATTGCAGAGGAGAAGGCGAGTCACTGGTGCCAAGCAGAGCACGTGCAGCAAGACAGAAAACGACTTCGCTGGACTTGGTGAGAGGGTCGAGGGTTTTGATACAAGCTTGAGAAGGAAAAAGGAGTAAGGAAGAATCATGCGACGATCCATGGGCGTATGACGAGTATGACGCAGTGGGTAGGTACGTTGCCGATCTCAAAGCGGCTTATTGGGGATTGTGCGCTGCAATATAACTTGCCAGGCGGTACACGTATTTGAGTTGGTCTGATGGACACGCAAAAGAATCCCGGCTTGGATCGCCCGATGATGGTATTTTCATGTTGAACGTCCGCCTTTTTTTGTATCAGGTTTCCTGATGGTGGTTGCTTCTTGAGAGTGTCCGGCAGAAACGCCAAGAGGCCCCGCAGAGCGGAAGCCACCCAGACGTTTCTTATGCAAGTTGAGAGACTGCGCATAAATTGGGAGGACGGACGATCCTTCTGGAGAAGTTTTGTGATCGTCTTCTCTCAAATATTCAGCCCGAAGTTGCAAAGCACATGATGCGATGTTTCAGGAGAAGCTGGTTGACAACAGGTATTACCAAGATTTACCAAGCATGTCGTGAATTCGGACATATGGCCATAGTGCAATCTTTGTTGAATGCCAAGTAGCAGAGTTGATCTTGCAGTTTCATCACAGAAGATTGATGCAGGACCCAAAGGCAATCAGGGTCTATGTATGTATCCGCAAGCTTCTGTCAGTGTTGACAAGATTTGTTGCTCTCAATTTAACGGGAACTGCTTCATACCAAGGCTGACGGTTGAAAGGGTATTGCGAATTCTGATTCTTAGAGTCATTTTCTGCTTGAAGGGGATTGGCAGCCTGATCTTGCATCCCAAAGTCACCTCACCATATTGGGTTCGGCTGCCTTACGCTCGCTTCACCCAGCAGCTTACGATGTCCAATGCTTACTTCATTTTCTAATGTGCAAGACCATGAGCATAATGCTGATCATGGGAGGACTTTCACATTCGGGTGGATGTGGATTTCAGGTGCAACACTCATGCTATGTGGAATCAGAACAAGACCCATGCAACCATTGATGTTTGATCTTAGCATCCTAGCATGTGCTAGTTCTCATCTCCATGCTGGCGCTCGCGGCCCAGACTGCGCCACCGCTGGCTGCAGGCACGGGTCGCTGCAAGGCTGTAAGGTACTCCTAGAACCCACTCTCAACCCTCAGTTGCAGTGTGAGGCAGATGGACTGGTCGCAGCGCGGCAAGATCTGGAGGCCAGGTGGGAATTTTCTGGAAGGCAATTGCTTCAGTCATTTCCGCGTTCCCTTGAGCACTATGCTGACCGTTAGCAGGAAACAGTCGTGCATGCCAATCGGAATGTCGAGATTACTCGAGCACTTGCGGCTGCAGACGCCTGAGTTCAGTGAGCCAGCTTTTTTTTGTGCGAGAAGTTGGATCAGAGCGCACCGAGGGCTTCTGGCTTCGGCAACTGTGCTGTCACCCCGTACCGACTTCTTTCGGCGACTGAGACGGATATCCAGGCACGCGCATGTTTTGCTTTGCTGGACGCAAATTTGCACCTTGACTCGCCGGAACGGGCAGGGACCGGAAGTTGCTTGCAGTTTGCAGCGGCTGCCTTTTCTATTTTGTGTTTGCAAAGGCGCAGCGGCGAGCGCGTCATTCCCTTGTTACCCGATGAGGCTGAAAGAAGGATAGGCATCAGCAACATGGCATTTATTCACTAGGAAAGTAACATCTGCAGACAGCTGCAAGGCCGGATCGGTGATGATGGTGCCTTCGATTACGACAGCAGCCTGGCAGAACTTGAGATCACCAAGGCTCAATGTTGAGTTCTCGCCTGTTGCAGGGAGAGTGGTGGGTAGGGATTGTTTCAACGCCGTGTGGGCATTGACCATGCTAGGACGCTGTGGGACGGCCCTGCTGCTGAGACAGGTGACGTTCTACGAGGGCGATCCACCCACCTCTATTCTCCGCGACATGACTCAGGACCACTTCGGGCGGAACTCCTTTTTGAGTAGGCTGCTGCGAGCGGAGATCAGCAGAGTAGACATCCCTGTGCTCTTGGAGAGACCCATGGGATCCCTGCAGACCCTTCTAGCTGCGAACCCCTGGCTCGGCGGGCGGTTGCGACGAGACAGGCGCGCAAACTTGCATGGCTTCAGAGTGGAACGTGTGTTTGCACCTGCAGTTTCTGCGCAGGTCCACTGGCACCACGGTCCTGTGCATGCCTGTGGACCCACCCAACATTGACACACACTTCATCAGGTGGGATTCTTATCAGTCATGGAGTTGTCGTGGCGTTGTCTGTGCCTGTGTGTATCTGCGCCCTTGCAGGCTGCAGAGCATGAGTAGTGCATCCATGGGATGTGCTTTGTGTGAGCCCAGAAGCTATCGTGACTTTGTGAGGACATCCAGAAGGCATCTGACACCACAGACACGAATGCAGAAAATGCGCCGTTTGCTGGAGGACGCCACTTGCATTTAAATGGGTTGTTGTACATTTGGCCGTGTTGTCGTCGAGAGCAGCTGAGGTCACCGTGCAGCCAGGCGTCGATTGCTTGGACACCGCCAGCCCTCTCTTTCTCACGTCCGTGGCTGAGAGTAAATTGGTACTCCATTTGCCGACCTATGAGCTGGCGCCGCTAGACATACGGTAAAAGCTTCCAGGCTTCGGGTCTTGCGTGTGAACGTTGACACTTTGCATGGTGGGAAGACGGAAGTGCAGCTGGTAATGCACATTGTTTGATTGGAGTTGCTGGGTCTCCTGCGTAACAAGGTGGTTGCTGTGGCCCCGGGTTGCTTGGCTTTGTTTGGTTCGTCCTGTGCCTTTGCAGATCCGTTGTTGGGCGAAGCTATTCGGGAGGACAACATGGGGACCCCGCAGGAATATTGAGAAATTACCATCCGATTTAGAGGACGGAATGAAGTGAGCAGATGAATTAAGTCGGAAATAGCTTGTGCAAGCACATACGTACCTGACGGTTCTGCCTTCTTGCTTGAAGGTAGATTCGCGGTGGTCATCTCAATGAGCCATGTGCTTGGCGATGGCTTCACCTACTACCGGATCTATAGCGCTCTGGACCAGCGAGAGAAAGAGATAGGCCGGACTTGAGCATCTTTTGCGCGCTGATTTTTTCGTCTAGCCTCCCCTTGCTCTTCACCTCAAACCCTTGCCACTGTTGCACATCTTAAAGCAGGGGACAAAGATGAGGTCGTGCAGGATTCGGATCCTTCCGCTGTTCTGTGGTCTCCGCTATAGACCCTGACCTTGAGGCGGCACGGTTTATGCAGCCGGTGAAGGACTTTCACCGCGCGACAATTTTGGGGTGGCTGAGTTGTCGACATTTCGAACCCTTGTCAATAGGGAAGATGTGCCAGAGGTAACATTGCACGCAACTGACCTGACCTCGTGAGGACCAGCGCGGGCTCGCCTCAATCCGATGCGTGCCTCTGGCCAGAAGCAGTCCAAGTCAGCTTCGCTGTGAAGATATTGGTAGTTCCCAAAACAGGGGGACCCCAATACAATCCTTATCATGAGGACCCCCAAAATGGTAGCTCCAAAGAAAGGAAACCCCCATATGTGAAGTTTGAAACTCATGCGCGCAACACCGTGCAACGTGACCAAGGCAAGCTTGAGTTTGCATCGGCGATGTCACAAACACTCGGCCTTGAGAAGGCGCTCAGAGAGACTGGGTTACTGTTAAGGAACTTAGCTTAAGCTAGAGTACTATCTAAACGAGAATCAAATGGAAAAGACAATGACAATTAGATGGAAACCTGGGGAATATAGGGATTCAAGGAACTTAAGATTTAAGTTACTATATTGGGGAAGCTCTATATATACCCCTTAGGGTAACTTAATTTAAGTCCCTTAACAGCAACCCAGGAGAGAAGAAGACGGGAGAGATTGAACGCGTGCCAGCCTTTTCAACATATGTGTACTATTTGGGTCCTCAGACCGGCTTGGGCTCCGGGCTGTGATGCGGGGGGCAAAACCTGTAGAAGAAGAGATTGCCCGGGTTGCTGTTAAGGGACTTAAATTAGGTTACCCTAAGGGGTATATATAGGGCTTCCCCAATATAGTAACTTAAATCTTAAGTTCCTTGAATTAGCAAGTTTGGCCAGATGTGCAGGTTGCCTGGCCCATTTCGCGACGTGCGTGCTGGGGCTCCATGCTGGACGGTAAACTGCGATTCAGGCACTTGGAGCGGTAACAGTGTAGAGGTAGCCTGAGAGAAGAACGTACTTTCTGACCGACGACTGCCATAGCTTCTTGATTGTCCGCATCCAGTCTGTCGGGGCTTGGTGGAATGCTTGCCAGCTGACTACAACAGTTCTTCAGGATGTAAACAAGCCTTCTCGACCTGAAATCTCTGATAGACCTATGCTTACGGCCCTCGTGTGACAGCATATCAAAGACGGTCTCAGACGCTGTGCCAGGCATTGTTGGAGCGCTTGGGAGGTCGACGCAGCGTGGGTGCAAGAGGTGACGGCGCTTCTACAGTGCCAAGAAAGTCCGCCATTGTCTACTAACTATTCCTGAACATGCGTTTAAGTGTTCCAAAGTGCCTGATGCGTTTGTTCGCTCAAGCTGTGGAACACGCTCCTTGGTACAGAAGTCAAGCCCAGCGAAACAGCACGAACCGGGCAGGGCAATCTCTCCCTGTCTGCATGTGGAGGAGAAGCGCCGCCAAAGCACCGCGGACAGCTTTGTATCTACCAATGACGTGTCTCGGAGCTACTTGCAACTGCAAAGCATGCAAGGGAGGCAACGGGGTGCAACTTGTGCAGCTTCACGTATGGCAGGTCTTGACCTCCCTTTTCCTTACCAGCGGGAAGTTCACCTATGGGATCATGTCGGCAACTTGCCTTGATAAATAGGTGCAGTCACAAGACAGCAAAATACATGCCACATGCCTGCATCGCAATAGAACACCCGATGACTTTCGGAAGTCTTCGTAGATCTTGGAGGCTTTCGCACTGAATCCATGAAGCAAGCTAGCTATACCATGAAGGGATCATAGCCTTCCTTGGTTTGGCAGACCTGTTCAGGTAAACTTCAGGGGTCGCCTCTGCGGACTGGATGAGACCCACGCAGGCACATGTTTTGGATGCATAGCTCCTGTTTATGCTAAACTTTAACTGAGCTACTGTCAATTTTAGCCGTATTGAGGGACCCTTAACGAGAGACATAGGGGTCCCTCTTGTAGTGTAGTATAGTTCCTACCATATTCCCTAATAAGGAACGCATGTCCATTCAATTATGTAGGACATATTGACTGTAGCTCAACTGTGGTTAGGTTGTGATGAGCCTTCAGTGGTTGTTGAAAAGTGCTCCTTCAACTAGTTAAGTTGGAAAGTTCGAAGGAGGCGAAGTGGCATCTTGCAGTTGACTTGGGCAAGTGATAGTGGATGAAAACTATGTCTGCGTCAGCACGGCAAACAGCAGCACACAGCTACTTTGGTCTTGCTGCTGCGCACGTGGCTTGATGCCGCATGTTCTAAAACATCTGAAGGTTCAGGTGTGTCGGGGCATTCCAAGAGCTTGTAGATGCCTCATGAATGCCACCCTGTCAGGCAACTACAAGGGTGGCCTCCAGTTCTTTCCTGTTGCTTGTCTAAACAAGCCATGACGAGACCTTGAAGCTAGAGACCGACATAGACTGACAAGTAGCAAGGGATGACTTGGTCAAACAATTTGCCTTCACTGAAAATGCCGATGCAATCATTTTGCCGAGGAAGAGTTCGCAAGCCCCGCCGGCATCAGGCCGTTCAGATCTGATTCATTTTCAGAAAATTCTTCATGTGCCATCGTTGGGGCCAGACTCTTACGCTGGGATTTGCACAGCGCTAGATTGAGTTCACACTTCTTTGGCCTCAGGGACGAAGTCTGGAAACCACCACGTCAAGTTTGTCCAAAGAGCCGCAGGCAGTCGTTGAAACCTCCTATGTTTCGCGCTGGCCGTCCGGGCTCCCAGACAAGCCAGGAGTTGTTTCAGCTGTCCATGTGTTTGCGGCCGTGGCATTTCAGTAGGTTCGTGCAATCACGACCCGTGACCCAAGAACCAATGGGTCAGGTAATGGGGGGTTCTGATTACAAAACCCCCTCCCCACCCCTAACAAGTATCTAGATAGTCTAGGGGGTCCCCATCGATTGTCGGAATATTTGTTTGGGGGGGTCCCAGCCCTAAACCCTGATGAAGAATCCTTGATTGGCTTCGCTGTTCGAATAAGCGGTCTTATAAGAAATCGATGGTCTCTGGCGCTCGAAACCAACCTGAGAATTGGAATGGAATTGGTTTAAAGCTTTACGGGTTTCAGATCTCCAGGCCTAAGGCTTGGAATATGTTTGCTATTTGAAGCTTATTCTTCTGTTGCAGATTCTGGGGTCCATGCCTGCCAGGGCCCTGATCAGCCCGTACCCTTTTTAGTGGCCATTATTCCGTTCCGGCGGTCGCGGTATAGTACCTCTTAGCAGAAATGATTGCCTGGGCTGTCCGAACAAGCGGTCTTTTAAGAAATCGATAGTTTCTGGCGCGCCCAAAACCCGAGAATCGGGATGGAATTGGTTTCTGGCCAAACAGATTTAATTTGGTTTGACATGCATAGGCTTAAGGCTTGAAATATGATCATCTGCAAGTTAAATCTTATTCTTGTTTTGCAGATACTTAATTAGGGGTTTGGTTGCTCAGACTGGCTGGCTTCTCTGGCTTTCTTCTCTTCGTCTTTTGTTGTTGTTCTGCGCTTGCGCATTTCGAGCATGGAATTATTCCGTTCCTGTGTTGTTATTAATCCGTTCAGGTCGGATTTAGCTCTAATACATACCCATTTGTATTATTCCATTCAGGCCTGATTTAGCTTTAATACGACCCCCTTTACCAATCCGAAGTGTACATTAATTGCCTCCAGGCGCAGCATCCTCCACTAAGCAGCACCGAAGCTCATCTGAGGAACTGATGTCCCGGGCTTCCTTTCCAGCGTTCGCGGCCGTGTCTCGGCGGAGAGCTTTTTCTTTGCTCACGTCTTAGCAGTGCAGCTTCTGAGGATGTAGAAGGCCGCTTGTTCGCAGGATTATGTGTAATAGCCACGGACAGCAAAATGTTCCAATTGCCAGTGCTCAAGCTCAGTACTAATGCAGAGGGCGGTTGGGACTTGATTTTGGCCCAGGCGTCGGCGTGGTCACGAATTGGGCCACAGTGTGTCAGGCGCACCGAGCGGAAAGCACACTATGCCATTAACGAAAATGGACTGGTGAGATGGGGCAG